GGCCAGCCCCGGCCGGCAGTGGGAGGCAGAGCTCGCTTCTCTGTCAGATCCATGTGGGGTGAGGCTGGCAGTCCCAGGAGGACCCTGGAGCGAGTCTGCAGGCAGTGGCCAGGGGACGCAGGGTGGAAGCGCAGGAAAGCACGGGGACAGCATGGGCCTGTTGCCACAGCCTGCTGCCCGGTGGACCTTTGCTGTCCCAGAGAGGGGGCAAAACGAGGTTGTCTTCCCTGGGGCTGGCTCAGGGCCTGGCCCACAGTTGGCCCTCCACACATGGGTCGCACTGAAGCATTTGTGTTTTTGCAGGTGTTTGAAGGGCAGGGTGGGGACCCGTGGGTGCACTTGCTGTGGGTGTGGACGCAGGCGTCCCGGAGGAAACCTGAGTCCCGGGCCAGGAGGTCAGGTGGCGGCTGTGGCTCCCAGGGCCCAGCGGCGTGAGTGCCGAGCCACACCGCCCACCCTTGCTGGTTCTTGCTTGTGCGTTGTTTTTTTTCTACTACCTTAAAGAATAATGCTGTAAAGCGATCATGGAGCAGAGTATAGAGAGCCTAGAAGTAAACTCAGTCGTATTTGGCGAGTTCCTTACAACGAAGGGTCCGAGAACAGGGCAGCGGGAGAGGACGCTCTCTTCAGTAGCGCACCCAGCTAGCGGGGCCCCTGCCGTAACCCCTCACGGAAAGGCAGCTCGGAGTGTCAGAGCAGACAGCTGCAGAGGAAGGTGTTCACAGTTGCAAGTTGAAGCATCGTGGGAGAATGAATGCCCCTGAGCTCCAGGTCCCGTAAGAAGAATGCCCCGTCACCTTCCCCGAGCGACTTTCCTTCGGAAACACTCTTCTCCCGGAATTTGGCATGCGCCGTTCTCTTGTGTTGAGACCGGTAAGGGAAAAGCCTTGCTGTACTGGTTTAAGACACACATGGACGCGTGCCTTTAGCCAAACCGGGGCGCTCCTGAGCCCTGCAGAGGGGGCAGATTCCGGCTGGACCCCGGGGCTTGCCTCCCCGCCCCCCCGTCCCGTTTCGGGGCAGTCGTGTCACAGGCAGCTGTGGGTCCTCTGTGGTTTCTTCATTCCTGTGTTTTTTTCCTGTTTGAACCCCTTGAAGGTGGGAAGACTCCCAAGCGAAGAGGTCCAGTTAACTTTAATTTTAACTTTACAAGCTGTCATTAAGCGTTCCCATGTTGCTTTGCTTATGGGAAGCTTTTAATCATTTACTAATTTAATGGTTGATATTCTTAGCTCTTGGAGTTGGTCGTCAAATATTTCCAGTTAGGAGTAGTG